AGCTTCTCCAACTAGCACAAGCTCAGGATCTGGCCAGAGACTCTCACAGCTGTGCAAAGACTGACAGATGATGATGACAGTCAGACAAAGATGTCTGGGCATGATAACATGCTGCGTATGATGAGTTAAATAACCAATGAATACAATTTTTGTGCTATTGAAGATACAAACAATGAAGCTACATTCGCTAGAAGAAAAAAGAAGAATCTGATCAACTAAAAGAACGGAAAGCATCCAAAAAATGTACTGCAAAGTACTGGAGTGAAAAGGAAATAATCCCAAGGAAACATTGTGTCCTGAAAAGGAGGAGAGTCCTGGGGAATATCTGTTGGTAAAAACAAGCTCAGTAGCTCAAAGTCAGCTGGTGACAGACAACTACATACCCTCCAAACAAACCCTGTGTATTGAAGGGCTCTTCCTTTCTGCTCTCTTGCTGATGGGTCTCAGCTTCAGCTGACTCCCATCTTTTTACCTCTCTACTGGATGCAAATACCTAACTATCCCATTGCACGGAGAGGAAAAGTTCTGTCAGGCTGGAAAAACCACATGTAGGTCGTTTGGGGACAGAAACAGCTTCCATAGATACAAAGGTGCCCAAACGCAGAAATAAGTTGGGAACAGATTCACTTTTCACAAAAAGATGAAGACGTTTCCAATGACACATCACTTGCAGAAGTGGCTTTCTCCTCCAACTCCACTCACAAGGGGCAGTGGGGAATATGACGTGCTGCCATGCTGGGAACTGGACTCTGGCAGCTGCCTGGCAGGAGCTGGGAGTACGGCCAGACACGCAGTGTCCTGGGAAGGAGCCACCTACCCAACATAAGCAGGACCTTTTGCAGCTCCCCTTGCCTCGCAGAGAAGTACAACTGCTTTGGATGGAACCGTAACTTCTTGGGTCTGTAGAAGTGGGGAAAAGAGGCATAATTAATACTCGCTGAAGAACACTCCTGGCATTCCACCCCACTCCACTGCTACCCCATGTGCATGACAAAGTCTGTTCCTATGGTACAGCTCCAGAGTGCCAGCAAAACATAAGTCTGCAGAAGGAGGTCTTAAAACTTCCAGCTCTGACCACAGACAGCCTTGTTCTAACGAGGGCCGTATCTGTTCAGTGTCGCTCATCTACAAACCCTGGGTCTTACTACTTAAATGGGAACTCCGAGAAGTTACAGCTGCAGTTGGAGGGCCAGGGAAAAACTAAATCCTCCCAAAAAATCAGTGACATTTAGAGCTATTAAGTGTTCTCTTGAATCTGTTTGGGGTGAACAAAAACGGTCTGAGTGGGGCCAAAATCCAAAGAAGCTAAATCTCAGTTTTCTCTAGGTTAAGCAACTTTGCTGGAAACTAGAGAGACCCAGTGGCCGCCGCCTTACTTTTCGGAGTCCAGGGCAATCAGGGCACTTTCCAGAGTTTCTTTAACTGGTCCCTGGGTCAGGCTAGTAGAAGGCTTTGGATAAACTGAAGACCCAGCCATGTCAAACCCCTCAGCAGCCGAACTTTCTGGCTTGTCTTCCTCTGACAATCGCGTCCCAGTGCCACTAAAGAGCAACAATGAGAGACAGCCAAATCACAACCATTAAAAATACACAGCAGTGAGCATCTTATGCCAAAGAAGAAAGGAAATGGATTTTAAATACAGGTAAGTGAAATCGAAACACAAACCAATACGTTTTACAGTCTTTTCGGTAAGAACTCGCCCCAGAAAGGAGGAGCACTGCCCTATGACTACACTTTGGTGTACTCTGGCCTACAGGAAACCCAGGAACATGGGGCAAGTCATAAAAGCCACCAGAACAAGATCAGATTGGACAGGAAGTCAGAGCACTGCTCAACGCAGGGATGGTTCGATTTGCGTTTTCCTCTGCGTTTTCATCCTCTTCTTTACACTTGTACCCATTGCTGCAAGTCAGGAGCTACAGTCAGGTACTGCATGAATTTCCCTGTTACTTAGAAGACCTGGCAACATCAACTCATTCCACTATTATTCCATTCCTAACAATAAGAGGAAAGAATTGTTTTAACTCCTGAATGACTTCTATCTTCATAGTCTCTGCCCCAGCAAACCCTGTGGCTGTCGTGTTCTTCTCCAACACAGCAAACAACACAAAACACACTTGCAGATTCCTGCAGCTGAGTTTGGCTTGTCAGAGCAGACCAGAAAACACTTTGCTCCATCAGAAGGTAGACAAGCATTCAAATGCAAAGCACAGTCTAGCATGAGGTTTGAGATCATAGAATCATGGAACGGTTTGGGTTGGAAGGGACCTTAATCATCTTCTAGTTCCAAGCCCCCTGCCATGGGCAGGGACACCTTCCCCTAGACCAGGTTGCTCAAACCCTCATCCAGCCTGGCCCTGGAACACTTCCAGGGATGGGGCAGCCACAGCTTCTCTGGGCAACCTGGTCCAGTGCCTCACCACCCTCAGAGGGAAGAATTTTTCTTAGATCTGATCTAAATCTCCCCTCTTTCGGTTTAAAGCCATTGCCCCTTGTTCTATCACTACATGCCCTTGCAAAATGTCCATCTCCAGCTTTCTTGTAGCCCCTTTAGGTACTGGAAGGCTGCTAGAAGGTCTCCCTGGAGCCTTCTCTTCTCCAGGCTGAACAACCCCAGCTCTCTCAGCCTGCCTCACCATGTGCTCCCAAGCTCACCTCCCTGTCGTGGTGTCGGCCCTTCCCTCCACAGCTGCTGTTTTCTGCTGCTCATAGGTCAGCAACACCGTCGAGGTTGTGTCTGCTTTTGCTATTGTCACCTCCTTTGCCTTGGAGGCCTCTTCCCCGCAGTGTGGGCAGTAGCTCATGTCGTTGACCTGGGAGGCACAGTTCTTGTGGAAACGGTGGGAGATGCTGCTCTCCGGCTGACACTCCATGAAAGTGCCCTAAAAAAACCACATAGAAGAAATTCAACCCTTGATCACTACGTGCCTTACCCCTTCCACATGCTTCATCCGCAGAGCTCTTAAATACTTCATTCATCACCACTCTTGTCCCTGGCGCTTCCAATACAGTAAGCAAGCACTGCCACTTCTTTAGAAGAGAACAAAATCAAGGTAACAGGGAAAAAACTCACTTGGTTAAGGACTGCAAAGCAAGTTTTTAAATTGTGCTTGGGAAACAGAGCCAAGAAGTCCCAATTTCCAGCTCTTTCCTCTAACGCTTGAAGTTCTCGCTTATGTTTCTAGAAGTGCCAGTGTACTGTAAGGATGCCCCCAAAACTGGAAAAGAAAACTTCAGACCTGTGTGCTGAGCCAGTATTAAAACTACCTAACAAAGCTGCGCAGAAACCATTCAAGGACCTACGTGAACATAATTAAATCAGCTGCTAACCCCAGTGTCCCCTAAAGTATGCATCTCCTCTGCTCTGACCAGCCCCGTATGCTGTTTAACCCCAATAATGAGGCTGACTGCTCCATCAACAACCTCGGGCAACTTTTCTTAACATTGTTTCCCCTTTCCATCACAATCCTTCGAACTGACCCGAAGGCATCCCAGAACTCATGGCCCTGTGATGGCAGTGCTATCTGAAGCCCTACTGTGCTCTGTGTTACTGGTGACGGACAGCACGGACAACCACTCCCAGGTTCACCTGTGTGAACTATGACATGCCACTGAGAGATGTACAAGCGTGTAAGAGCAGGCTAGTTGAAACCCACTCTTCTCCTGAATTCACGGCCCTCCCAAGCAATCTAATTAACTCTATCTCAGCTTTGAAAAATGCCTTTAAGGGTTTTGAGGATTTTATCTTTCAAATGATCTTTGACTCAGCAGGAAAAAAATGGCTCCATTTATTACAACAATGCTTGAGACTACTGTAGCATCTTTCATTTGAGTCATCTTGAACAACACTAGCTTCAGAGAATTAAGCCTCCTCATCACCCCGCGAGGCCCTCAATTGGTGTTTTTCAGCTTTACCAACAGGGAAAACAGGATGCTGAGAACTTAAAGGACTGAACCAACACTATTAAAAGCCTCAGTGGCAGAGGAGGAAGAAGCAGCAGGAGATCTCAAACACTGCCTTGTTCCAGTGCCATCATTCAGGTTCCCCATCTAAACCATCACGAGCAGGTGGGGGACAGAGATGTGTGTACACAGATTCATTTACAAACCAAGCTAATACAATTTTTGATGTGATTGATCTGTACAGAGAAAGAAAAAAAATCACACCCTCGTTTCAAAGAAATTCCTAAGGCAAGACTTCCACCGTGTGAAATCCCAGTGAAAACCCTTCAGTAACATCCCTTGGGGTCTCCAGGAAGACAAAGGTGACGATTGCAGCTACCCTCACACACATTCCTGTTGAAAACACCACCTGATGTGCTGTGGAACGAGGTGGAGCTGATGCCAGGAAGTCAGTAAACCCCTTTAGGTACCATCTCCACCTTCAGCTCTTCCAGCTACTGCGACAGGTACCCCCTTCCCTAGATTGAGAGCACGGACTTACTGCAGTGCAAAAGTATCCACAGCCAGGGCAACACTGGTGTTTCACCATCCTCCCTCTATGGTCCTCACACAGCACCAAAAGCTGGACTTTGTTAGACGGGCGCATCAGTTCATACTTAACCACACTGTTTGTGCATCGGCCCAGCTGGAACAGGAGAAATTAAAGGAAATGAAATTACTGGAGACCAAAACACTCTCTGTGCTTGTGCGGAGGAAGATTTTGCACACTGCCTTGATGAGCCCTGGCTTTTTCACAGTAATTCAGATGTGTGCCAGATAGCATTAGCAGTGCAGCAGGAAGCTGTGAAAGCTGCTCTCACAGGAAGAAATGCATCATTTACTAACTAACATGCACGTGGACCCCGAGTCGTTTGCTCCTCGCCAGAAAAAAAAATCCTAACTGGAAATACGCAGCAGCCAAGCAGCGGCAGAAGGGGCATCCCATGGGCCTGACTCACACAACACACGCTCTCCTTTCGCCAGGAAAGTGTTGGTGACCAAGAGAACGAGACCATACGCACTAAATCTTGTTACTGTTCAAAAGTATAAGTCACAGGAAGATAAAGGGAAAAATAATTGCTCTTCATTGCCAGCGAAGTTATCGTCTGTACTGGTTCCAGCACTGGCCCCTGCCCAGACCACAGGGATGAACAGCCAGGCTTTCACAAGAGCTCAACTAAAGTCCCATTTTGAGCATGTTTTCCGAAGGATTTCACCAACGTACAGCTCTGGGCTTAAAAAGCTATCTTCTCGTGCACCACTTAGTTCTGTTAACGACGGCAGGCTCCGTAACTGGGGTTCACTTTTCCCCATCAGTGGTACTGTCTGCTGCGTCAGAAGGATCAGCGCTTCCTTCTGCTGCCCCCACTCCGACATCTACGACACGTGCACATCCCAGTTGCCACCTGCTAGCATGCCACGACGCTGTTTGGGTTCTCTGAGTTCCTCTGGATAACAACCTCGCTTCCCCCAGATGCTGGATAAAGGACATTTATAAACTAGAAATACAAACGTGAAAGGCTGCTACGAGGAAACATCCCTACCGAAATCTGCACGTGGTTTTACCGTGCGCTGCCGCCGTGAGCGGGGGAATCAGTCAGCGGCACGGTGCCTGCTCATCACCAACAGCCTGTCCCTCTGGACTAGCTGAGGTTTGATTTGCTGCTTTTTCTCAACAAAACTAGACTTCCTAATTTTTATTTTTTTTTTCCAAACTTCACTTCTCCTGTAGAATCAACACGCCTACAGAAAAAGGGAACGGGTTTTAACCTAGGCTCATCATTCACCCCTAGCATCTCTGATTCAACTCACCCAAATTCCAGCTGCAAAGTCTACCTGTGGCGGCTGTGACACCTTGGCTACGCTGATCCCGCTAGCACACAGACCCCAGGGGCTGCAGGAAAGGACCGTTGCATGGATTTTTACTTATGAGGCGAGGAAATCTGATTAACACGTGAAAAGCTGCACTGTCCATGTGAGCAAGTCCCTGCATTATTATGTCACACTGTACTATTTGTTAGAAACACTAAAAAAAAGTATGAAATTATTAATCGCTCCTTTCCAGCCATTAGAGAGTGCAGCAGGGCGCGCATAACTATTTTTAACATTCTCCAAGGACAAGACAGTCTGGAGAACCCACTGTTCACACGTGTAATATTCTTCTAATATCTATGAGTCACTTATCCCATCATGAAAAAGAATCCAACACAAAGCATGGCCTTTGCTATTCCTCCCTCTGGTTTATCCAGGGACAGAACTGTCAAACCACCGTACGCACGAGAACGAACTCTTTCATGTACCTTTTGTTTATTCGGGAACCCTGGGGGGTCCCCCTCTCTCCTGCAAGTCTCCAGGGCATTCTCTCTTTCACACATCAATTCTGCCACGCTTTGGAAATTCCTTTCTCTATAGGTATCAGCACGGACTAACAGAAGCAGAGCTGGGCTGCAAATCTGATTATCCCTTTCTCCCTCCATCCACCCTTCTCCTGGGATCGTACAGGACAACTAGGGATATTCTCACGCCTTGGTCTACTACCAGCAAGTATGAGAGCGCTGCAGTGTGACTGCAGCTCAGTTAAAGCTTAAAAGAAACCCAGGTGCCTCCCAGTAAAAAGGAGGATCTATCGAGCGTGTTTCCGTCCTGCAGTCTCACCTTCCAGACTCTGGGAGGGAGTCACTTCTGCCACTTGCTTCCACACTTCTGCAACCAGTAGAGCCCAACTAGCCCCGCTGCGATCGACTGAAAGGCGCCACGTGCACCCGTTTTCGGCCAGCCAGACCTGGAGGCTGCGCAGGGCTGCCAGGACATAGGAAGCTTTGTAACAGAAGCCTCTTGGGGGAGGAGCAGAGAGGAAGGCTGGGGCAGACGGAGCGGGCGGAGGGCATGCCGAGTTCCCAAAATTCAAGAGCTGGCTACGGAAAGGTTTGCATCAGCCCCTCTGTAGTCAAGGAAAACCCACTCCAAGCTTCCTCTGACTGGATTTTCTCACTTTGATGCACGCTAACGTATTTTGGCCCGCTTGGTCTGACGTGTGCCTGTTACACCAACTCAATCCAGCCACAGAGGCCAGGACAAGCAGGAGAGACCCACCCAGAGCCTCTCCAACTGCAGACCGCACCATCTCCTCCCTTCTGAGTGGCTTCAACCCGACTGTAGGACACACACAGGGTGCTGGAGCCCTCAGCTTAGCGAGCCAGGTGTCTGCCCTGCCATTCCCACACACCAGTGTTCCCAGACTAGCAGGCTGCCGAGCCCCTGCGTGACCCGACACATGTTCCCGGCACACTCTTTTTATTCTTTATGTCTTTGTCCTCAGCAGAAAAGTCTGCAAGAAGCTGAAAGACAGGCTCCTACCTCGTTATCCACACTCTCCGTGGCCATGCACTGGTTGTTGGCTAGCGTGGTGATCTCTCTGCTTTTGGGGGTTTCCATCCGACAGCTACAGAGAGGGACTTCCTGGAGACCATCTACTTCCATTGCTTCGGGACCATTGGAAAGACCTGGAGCACAGAAGACGAGTATATCATCTCTGAAATTCTTTTCCAGGAGAAAGGCTGCAGTCCATCACCACCACCCATCTCCTGTGGCATCTTCCCATTCCATGTCCTGAAATGCTTTCAAGGCATTATCTAAACCCTGCGAAAAAGACCCCTTCTTACACCAGCTGGAGCTTGCAAAAGCATCCTGTTCTTTTCTAAGTCCAGCCACACTACAGATGACTGTGCTGAAATCAGGAATAATAAGTTAAGAACAGTTTATTCTGAGAAAACCTCAACAAGGAAAAGCAATGATGAGGTAAAGATTTTTATCAGCCTGCCTCCCCTCCCCACTCGCCCTAAAACTCTGAGCTTCCAGCACCAGAAAATTTGTAGGAAACCATCCGGAGCTGGAAATTTGAATAGTTAATGGAGTGATAAATAGAGAAGATCAGGACAGCACAAACTTCTATTTGCAGAGACTTATTACACAGATGGGAAAACAAAATTCCTGGGACTATTTGATCTCAGCCAACCAAGAATTATTTATTTTGGAAGAGAACAAACCAGGGAAAAGCAAGCAGCAAGATGCTCAGATGTTCTTGCCTTCTCCTCATCTCTTTCTCTCAGATTTTGAACATTTTCAAGGTGGACAATAGCTTTTGAGGGGGCTCACTGCCAGGTGTGGGGGCACGGCGTGAATGTTCTGTGGCTCCTCTGGATTCAACTCAATCCCTAGGCTGCCGTGATTGCAAAGCACTGGCCTAACGACAAAGGGGTTGCTTTTAGCACGACACTCCTGTCCTAACCCTACACTGTCATAACATCTCTGCCACGTTTTCATTACAGAAGCAAACCCGCAAACATTTGCCTTTGGATTGGTTCACCCTGAAGCTTTTGACGCAAGCTTTCCCGACCCGAGCCAGCTATGGGATTGAGTCCCAGTGAGAAGGAAGCGTGCTGCTATTTTTTAAGCTTTTGAAAGGAGAGTTATTTTGCTGCAAAGATTCAAAGATTAACTTCATTCCTGAGGGAGATTCCTCTTTAGCTGCCCTGGCAATGGCAGCACTCCCCTCCCCAGCAGCATCCTGCCCATGGCTAACCACCAGCGAGGCACAAGCCCCTTTCATCTTGCAAGGAGTTTCCTTTAGCCAGCAAGTTGCAAGACCAAGCCTAGAGAAGGGATGGGATATTTCAAGACATACAAGCAGAGGTAGTAAAGTCCTTGCAGTTTTCCTGTAAAATCCTGTCAAGATCTTAAAGGTTTAAGAGCTTTTTCTTCGACCACAAATCACAAAGCTCATTCCTCGCCTTCCAAGCTGTCACTTTCATAATCTTTTTGACATCCAGAGACTCTGGTGAAAGCATCCCTCATTCATCCTGACCCTCCCTTGGTGGTGAACACTCCCACCCGCTCTTTGATGTGTCTCTATCAAAAGAGCCAGACAACCTTTAAAAGTGAAAGGGGATGGGGGGACAGACGGACAGATCCAGGTCAGCCAGGAGGCACCGGATCTGAGGCAAGTTCAGCACTGGGAACAGCGGCCGGGGCTGAGCGCCCAGAAACCAACATTCCCTCCTCTTCCCGGGAAGGCTGAACAAGAGGATCCCGGGGGGCACTGGGGAGATGCTCCATCACCATCCTTGGAAGAAGGGAGGGGAGCTGCCGAGCGGGACAGGCGGGC